GTCCCCCGTGCTTCTGACGGCGCCCCACCCCTGCTGCTGCCCGTTCTCCTGAATTAGGGTTTGGGGGTGGGGGGTATGGGGGTGCAGTTTCTGTGCGTCGTCCCCTACTCCTCCTCCTCCTCCGTCTCCCAGTGCTGCAGCTGCCGCTGAGGGGGGTGGGTGTGTGGGAGCCGAAGGAGTGGTACTAGGGGGGTGACGTGCAAGTGGAGTTAGGAGTGAAGCAGTGGGTGTGTGGGGGGTGTGTGGGACAGTTGGAGGAGGTTGAGCGGAGGCTGCTGTCTTGTCGACCGCAGCACCTGTAGTCCGGGGCGCACTGTCCTGGTAGCCCAGAGAGTCTGCTGCGCCTGTCGCCCGAGGGTCCGTTGCTCCTGTAGCTCGTCGTAGCCCGTGAGCCAGTTACTCCAGTAGTCCGGGGCGCACTGTCCCGGTAGCCACTGTGCCAGCAGCTCCTGTTGCCCGTGTGTCTGCAGCTTCAGCCGCCGTCTCTCATCTTCTCTCCTCTCACAGTCCCTCCTCCTCCTCACTTGCCCGCTGTGATTACCTCTAGCTTTGCTTCTTATTGTGAACTCCTGCTATACCTGCTCATTGTGCTGATTACACCCCACTTTGGCTATGGGGGTGTGTCAAAATGTTGTATTTGTCTAGCCTGCAGTGGGGTACTCTATAGCGAGTACAGCCCAATCTAGGGTTTCCTATATGTACTCAACTGCTTGCTAGTGAACCTCCTCCTTTCTTCATTCTTACTTTCTACTGCTAGTTCTGACATGGCACTCACTCTATGACTCTGCGTCCTTCCACTCCTCCACAGCGTGTCCCTCTGCCCTCTCCTCATGCGTCCTCTCTTCCTGACGGTCCGGACCCGGAGTCTGACTCCCTTCGTGCTGCTAGTCCTACTGTCACGCGCTTTCTGGCCACTGCTGTCACTGACCCCCTGTTTGAGTTCTCTGCTGCGTCTGCTCTTGTTGCTGAGCTTGTTGACTTTGCTGCAGCCTGTCGCCTAGACTACGCCGCTAGTCTTGTTGCTGGGTCTGCGTCTGTGTCTGTCTGTCCTCCGTCCGTCGGGGGTGAGTGTGCTCTTGGCACGTACGTCCTTGAGGACAGGCAGGAGGACCTTGAGTGCTTTGCTGCTGCTTCACCTCATCTAGTGTCCATGCTGCTTGCCCCTGAGGGAGACCCGGATGCACTAGACATCCCGACCCCGCGCTCTTACGCAGAGGCGATAGAGGGTCCCTACTCCTCCCAGTGGCAGGCAGCCATGGACGCAGAGATGGCTTCCTGGAAGTCCACAGGCACCTACGTAGACGAGGTTCCCCCACCTGGGGCGAACATCGTCAGTGGCATGTGGATCTTCAGGGTGAAGCGGCCGCCGGGTTCTCCGCCTGCCTTCAAGGCGCGTTACGTTGCACGTGGCTTCAGTCAGCGACAGGGAGTTGACTTCTTTCAGACCTTCTCCCCTACCCCGAAGATGACCACTCTTCGGGTACTGCTGCACGTTGCTGCTCAGCGTGACTACGAGCTCCACTCACTTGACTTCAGCACAGCCTTCCTACAGGGCAGCCTGCACGAGGAGATCTGGCTGCGCCGCCCACCTGGCTTCACTGGGTCGTTTCCTGCTGGTACCCAGTGGAGCCTCCGGCGGCCAGTCTACGGTCTCCGCCAGGCGCCCCGTGAGTGGCACGACACGCTCAGGACGACTCTTGCTGCTCTTGGTTTTGCTCCTTCCACTGCTGACCCTTCTCTGTTTCTACGCACTGACGCTACTCTGCCGCCGTTCTACGTTCTTGTGTACGTAGACGACCTTGTCTTTGCTACTGCTGACACGGAGGCACTCGCCCACGTGAAGTCCGAGCTGCAGAAGAGACACACGTGCACAGACCTGGGTGAGCTCACAAGCTATCTTGGCTTGCGGATCACCCGGGACAGAGCACAGTGCACCATTACCTTGACTCAGTCACACATGGTGCAGCAGGTCCTTCATCGCTTCGGCTTCACCTACTCCTCGCCACAGTCCACTCCTCTGCCTACCGGTCACTCGCTCTCAGCTCCACCTTCGGATGAGTCCGTAGAGCCGAGTGGCCCGTATCCAGAGCTTGTGGGCTGCCTCATGTACCTGATGACTTGCACACGACCTGACCTCGCATACCCTCTCAGCCTTCTGGCTCGCTACGTGGCTCCCGGCAGGCACCGAAAGGTGCACTGGGATGCTGCGAAGAGGGTGTTGCGATACTTGTGCAGTACATCGGACATGGGGCTCGTGCTTGGAGGACGGGCTCGAGTTGTCCTCACTGGTCACGCTGACGCCTCCTGGGTTGACGACTTGGCTACGCAGCGGTCGTCACACGGTTACACCTTCAGCCTTGGCTCCGGTTCTGTCTCCTGGCGGTCTACCCGCTCTTCTTCTGTTCTCAGCTCCAGTTGTGAGGCTGAGATCTATGCTGGGGCCATGGCTGCACAGGAGCTTCGCTGACTCACCTACCTGCTGACCGACTTGGGAGAGGCGCCTCGTTCTCCTCCAGTTCTGTACGTCGACAACAAGGCCATGCTGGCCTTGTGTCAGGAGCACAGACTGGAGCACAGAACGAAGCACATTGCTCTGCGCTACTTCCTTGCTCGAGAGTTGCAGCAGCGTGGCCAGATTCGTCTTGCTTACGTGGCCTCTCAGGCCAACACTGCTGATGTCTTCACCAAGGCACTTCAGCCTTGTGATCATCAGCGTTTCTGTACTGTGTTAGGCCTTGTACCTACTGTGCCTCACTTGTTGACTTCTTGACTCTGCTTGTACTGTACTCTATATACTTATACCTGCATGCTTATACTTGCTAGGTTGTGTTCACTGTATTGTTTGCTTTCCTTTATATAACGCTGCATGTGAACTGGCCTTCTGGCCCTTTGCTTGTGCTCAGACTGTGTGGTGACTTTGTGATCCACCCTGAGTTTGCTTTGTCTTTCTTGACTGGTCTTGTGACCCCTTGTTCTCCCCCACTTTGCCTATGGGGGTGTGTCAAACATATATTTACGTTGCAGTGCGACAACCAGAGTGCGATTACCATCGCCAACAAGCCCGGCTTCGTCAATCGCACGAAACATATTTCACTGCGTTACTTCTTCGTCAAGGACGCGATCGACAAGGGGAGAATGCGCCTTGTCTACTGTCCCACTGGTGACATGGCAGCTTGTCAAACATATATTTACTATAGTCGGTCTAGGCTGTAGTGGGGTAGTCCTTAGAGGGTACAACACTTATGTGTTTCCTACTTGTACCCTTCTCATTTCCTAATTCAATCATTCTTTCATCTATCATTCTCACACAGCTGACTCACTTACCAAGAAACTGACACGACAGAAGTTTCACCACTGCAACCAGCTCAGCGGCGTTTGTGAAACAACCGGGTAACTACACCGAACTCCTAGAAGTGAAGGGGAGTGTTGAGATAACATCAAGACTAGCACTTCAAGGAATTTGTGTAGTACAGTAGTACAGTGCGAGACTTCGCACGTAATAGTAAAGTACCGATAGGCTGACATCAGCAAAGCGCTACGCGCCCTAGGATGACGTCAGCACGTAGCTATAGGCCTCGCGAATAGTCACGTATCGTTTCAGAACAGGAATAGCGTGAATAATACAGTACAATAGGCGAACAGGTACTTTACTCTAGCTATATATTCTGTATGCTTGTCACTTTATTATATATCTGATTTCAGAGACATTGATCCTGAAAAAACATATCACTACATGGACTTTTATTAGTCCAGACAAAGCCTTCTATAACTGGCTTTAACTCATACAAGACTTCCGCTACGACAGGAAGCTACCATCCTAAGTATTACGATCCTACTCAATCATCTCAAATTCTAACACTTTCAAGGCTAAGATCAAGTGTTGAAATAGAGATGTTGTAATTGCGGAAGCATTGTAATATCAGAGTTGCTTGAACCACCTTGTACTGGTGTCTGAGAACTGTCAGAATCCCAACCACTAGACCATTGGGATAAAAGGACTTGTTAAGTAGCGGGTCAGTGCGCCCATAACCCCCCAGGACAACGAGCCTGTAACCCTTCCCTAGGATCAATCGGGGATCACCAGTGGACCTCTGACACCCCCCCGCACTGGGATGCCCGAAGTGCACACATTAGGATTCGAACCCGAGACCTTCGCTCTGATACCATGTCAGAATCCCAACCACTAGACCATTGGGATAAAAGGGCTTGTTAAGTAGCGGGTCAGTGCGCCCATAACCCCCCAGGACAACGAACCTGTAACCCTTCCCTAGGATCAATCGGGGATCACCAGTGGACCTCTGACAAGAACAAGATAAGTTGATAATAACAAAGAGATACAAGCCTTTTATACGATTACAAAGGAATATGAAAAGGTTCTACTTTAACTGTTTTGCTGTTGCGGTTCGATACAGTGCCGACTCGGGTAACTGCTCAATAATGAGTCAGTTATGTGTCCTTGTTGTCGCACTGTAGTTTTCGTCAGGTCAAGGGTCAGCGACCTTTGACTTTCGCGTAACCTCCAGCGGTTGCTTTTGTTGACTCGGGTGTTTCTTCGCTGTAGTCTGCTCCGATTTGTGTTAACACTTCGATACTTCAGAAGCGTTTGAGCTTGCTTGTTTCCAACAGATATAAGCGCCGGCATCCTTTTATAAGCGCCGGCGCTTATCCGAGGCCTGCGCTTCTATCCGGGGGCTTACGGTATGAGTGATTAGATAAACGATTATTTAAAGCGGAATAGTTTACGAAATATTATGTGGCTGGTTGGTGCAAAGGCTTGGTAACAACTGAAGGTTAGGATTGGTGGTGCATCCCGCGAGATGATTGAGCAACCCGGTACGCTGTTCGCAGGATGACGAGGAGTAAGGAGAAGAAATTCCTGACATTCTTTTACCGTACATGATTGTACATGCCACAATGTTCCGCTACTGGCTTTCTTATCGTTAGAATGAGGAACTTGTACCGGTTTCCTGCGAAAGCGTGTCTAAAAAGAGTACATCCATATGGTTCTTGTCACGTCAGCCTGCTTCACGAAGAGTGGGCCACGTCCGCATTTCTCATCTGGTCCCTCATCCCCGCAACCATCATGGCTTGTCCTTCCGCTTCCCTTTACGCCAACATTCGCTCCGCAACCCTCCTTCTCCAACCTCCTTCCGCTTCCTTCCCGCTTCCAGTCAACCTTCCCTTTCCCCTTCCCCGTGCTCTTCCCCGCTCCCTCGGTTCCCTCTCCGTCCTGCCCGCTGAGGGCTCTGCAATCCAGACCTGTATCAGTTGCTCAACCTTACCTAAAGGGTTGTTCATAAGAACCTCTTAGCATAGCTCTCACCTTTTTGGCGTAACTCTTACCCCGCGCCAGCCAAGCCGCGTCGCCATGGCGGGGTCCGCAGTGCTTCAGTCTGCTACCATTGACAGAGTAACCTTGAGGTGCGGGTTTCCGGGGATTATCACCTTCATTGCGACATTGCCAAATACTAATTTAGTAGTCACCCCAGCCGATTCGAGACAGGCCATGGCAGAATCCAGCTTGCTTTTCGCCAGCTCGTTATGTCGTCATTTAGATGCATTCCATCTAGATGCAGATGCAGATTCTCTTCCTTGTTGAGCACTAGGAGGTCCACGTTAATGTACTAGCTTCGTCGCCGAGGACGTTATTGGTCTCTCCAGAATACGCTCTTTACTTCGACACCCGTCGTGTATCTTCGCTATAAACCAATTCATGAACCCTCCGATACGCATCTCTAACACATGCGGGTGCAAATACCAGGATTTGTTGGATTACCTGCCATTCTGGCGACCTAACTTTTTTTTTTTTACCCGACACATTGACTAGACCTTATATTTTCACCCGGCGCTAACTAGCATGACAGGTTTACGAACTCGTCGATCGAGGGGGTGCAATGTATCGTGCTCCAGGCGCCTTGCTTCCAAAACCCTGTTTCTTACGATTGCGGCTGTTCGTCCACAGCCCTCAGTCGTACAGTTCGTTACACATCTCTCCTCTCCAGTTTCTGCACTCCCGCTCTTCCCTCCGTTAGTTCTTTCACTTTATTCCCTGAGTCATGGATTTCACGCTCCATGTCCCCCTCCCCTCCCTTTTCTTCCCGTCCGGTCCCTATGCTGTCGCCTGCTGTGTGTCTCGCCTCGTCTCTCCTCTCAGGAGTTCGTTCATTGGCGAGGCCCAATCACTGCGTGCCACGTCAGCAGCAGCCTCCTCCCAGACCCTCAACCAGCAAGGCCTGCTAGCCGTCCGCATTGTCTGCAAGGAGTCGCGAATCGGCCGGAAACCCATCCCCGTGCCGGCCGGCGTGACGTTCAAACTTGACGGCCAGTCGTTAGTGGTGAAGGGCCCTAATGGCGAGCTGTCAAGGGAATATCCCCGGGAGGTGCGGCTGAGCGAGGAGGGTGGCGTCATCACCGTCAACCGCGCGCTCGAGACGCGACAGGCTCGCGCCATGCACGGACTCTTCCGGTGAGTATATTTTCCCTCAGCATCTCCCGTTTTACGTAATCGGGCCTTTTTCAAAGAGTTGACCTGGAAGGACCGTACCAGTGAGTTGTCACGCCCAGACCGTTCCGGTGTGGTGACACACTGTCGCGCAGTTGTTACGCGGCTTTTTCGATCAAGAAGCGGGGTGGCCTCGCGGCTCGCTGTCTACCGTCAGGAGCCGCTCCCGTCTGGCGGCTGTGGGAGCCGAATAGACTAGAAGCCGGCACTTGCAATAGAAAGCTATTCGACGGCAGCGGTTCAGATAGTCAATGACAGTCAATGGAGCGTGGGAGCAGACAGGCAGGCGGAACCAGGTCTCCGATTAAACGGAGCGTATTCTCGCACGGGTGGTACGGCCGGGCGTGGCGTGGCCCAACCGCGTTTGCGCTCTCGCAGTGGCTGGTTTGGGCGGGACTAGGGTTGATGGACGCAGGCTCTCTGGAGGATCTCAGGCCTGTGAAGCCCCTTCTCGCTGGTTTGGAGATTCGTGGGAACAAGGACAGCGTCCGGGGCCGGTTTATCAGCGACCGGCCTCTGTAGGGGTTGCGATAACGATGACCAACTGCAGGACGCGGACTGGAGGTCGGTCTCTTGAGGGTTGTAGAGAGCCCGTACGGTCTGGTGTTTGTAGGTGTTAGAGAGACGCATGGGATCGTGGAGACGTGGTGGGTCGTAAGAACGTGTCGCCCTTCCTTCTCGAGTATTGGGACGTCTCTTGAGGATAACAGTGACTAACTGCAGGTCTGGATATCGTGGTCTGGAGGTCGTCTCTTGAGGGTTGGAGGTGTTTGTGGGTGTCAGAGTGACGAATGGGGAAATCGTCGAGTCGTGGTGGGTCGTAAGAACGTGTCGCCCCGTCCTTCTCGCAGCAGTGGCAACAGGAGTGGTGTTGCATCGGCGCAGGTTGTAACAGCAGGTGGAGTAGTAGCAGCAGGAGCAGCATCAACCTCTAGCTCTAGTTCCCCACGCTTTCTCTAGTTGCATGCTGCTCCGTCTATTGCCCCACCATTCGTCCCCCCCCATCCATTTCTTGGTTCACTCCCAATATTGAGCCTGCGAATTTCCATTGAATCCGTGTTCCCCGCTCCGTTTATCCACTCTCTTCCCCCACTCTCCCCCCTCCCCTTCCCCTCCCCCGCCTACCGCCCACTTGCCCACTCCCTCTTAGCCCAACGCTCACGTCACAACCCCCCACGCCCCCCCACCACCACCCCTCCAACCCCGTTCTTCCCCCTCCCTCGCCCCTCCCCCACACCCTCCCGCACGCTCTCTGTCTCTCTCTCCCCTGTTGCTGCAGCACGCTGACGGACAACATGGTGCAGGGCGTGGCGAAGGGGTTCGAGAAGAAGCTGCAGCTGGTGGGAGTGGGGTACCGTGCGGCAGTCGACAAGACGGAGCTCGTTCTCAACCTGGGTCTCTCGCACCAGGTGAGTCTCCAGGCGACTCACAGCTCAGTCAAATGGGCTTTAAGTGGGGTATCGCGCGGCCGTTGACTAGACGGGGCTCAATCTCAACCTCGGTCTCTCGCACCAGGTGAGTCCCCAGTCGATTCACAACGCAACTCACCTCGGCATGAAACGGCGCAGGTGCAAAATGCACCATGCGATGTAATTAGCTGGGCATCAAGTGGGGTACCGTGCGGCCATCGACAAGTCAGAGCTCGTGCTCAACTTGGGCCTCTTGCACGCCTCTTGCACGCCTCTTGCACGCCTCTTGCACGCCTCTTGCACATGAGCTCGTGGTGAGGCATTTGCTAGTGCTGGTTTGAGTGTCCCGCATACAAGCATACGAAACGAAAAAAATAATACAGGAAATGGTGAACACACGAAGTATCCTGTTGCAAAATGCGCCACATGGGTCCCATATTTTTGAAAGAGGGTGGGGAGGTCGAAGTGCACACGTGTCTCATAATGTTTCCTCCCTCCCAGTGCCCCCCTACCATGAGTCCGCATAGCAGTTAACTGGGAAGTGGTTGTAAAGTTGGAGGGGAACTCTTGTTTTACCTGCTGTAGGCTGCCGGTTACGTGGTACTTTCACCTTTCACGTCTGTCAGAAGGTCTCTGAGGGCATGGCCGTGAAGGTGGAGGAGAACACGCGCATCACCATCACAGGTCGTTGCTGTGGGCGACCCATTTGCAGCCTCACTTCCTCTCCTCTTCTTTCCACTCTCCCCCCACCCCAGGTCCGCATGAAGGTCCCAGAGGGTGTCGCAGTGAAGGTGGAGGAGAACACGCGCATCACCATCAGCGGGCGGGACAAGGTGGCGGTGGGTGACTTCTCAGCCTCGGTGCGCAAGTGGAGGGAGCCGGAGCCGTACAAGGGCAAGGGAATCAAGTATGCGGACGAGGTCATTCGGCGCAAGGAGGGCAAGGTTGGCAAGAAGAAGTAGGCTGCTGCTGGTGCTGGTGGGAGGATGTAGGATATTGGAAAAAAAGAATGTGGAATTTTTTTCAGAGATTGTTTCAGCTCTTGTGAATGCAATGGTTCTTACACACATCACTGGCTTCTGAGTCCATCTGCTACGAAAAGAGTGGCTAGACATGTTAGGTAATACTGCTATAATAGAGACAGAATATACTGTAACGTTTCCATGACCCGTATAAGTAGACATGATGTACTTCGTAATCAGAGCCACTTTCCTTTCGGACCACGCATCTCCGCACCCCAGAAAACCAATTTTTGTTTTTTCACTCGAAGGGACTCACGCCCGATAAGGACCTAGGAGCCGCTGTCCTCGCGTTCTCTCGTAAACGCGTGCAGCCACGAATGCGCCTAGACTAAGCTGAGCCCAGGGCCCTCGCTATCAGACATTTTTGTCTGTTTTTCTGAGAAATCAGACAGATTTTTTTTCACTCATCTGATTTTCAAGAAATGGGTGCATTATGCTGTCTGATGGGTCAGAAATGGTTTTTAGTTTCCATCTGTTCTATCAGACACGTGTTTTCTGTTTCGTCTGAAATCGAAACATAGCATATCGCGATTTCCAGCGGTGGGAAGGGAATCTCTCCTGTGACAGTGCATGGATCACTGCTGTGACAGGTTGACTCATTGCAATCTTTATACGCAGTGCGAACCCCTCTTGTGATAGGGCGAATGTGGTGAAAAGGGGCGAATGTGGTGTGACGGGGCGAATGTGGTGTGACGGGGTGAATGTAGTATGACAGGGTGAGTGTTGTGTGCCCTTAGAATGGATGTGACAGGCGAGAGAGAAGTTCGACTCAATTTTTTTCCCACGTGCATCTGCACACTCGTAACTCTATTGATTGGTCAGACAAGGTTTTTGAAAATTTCTGATTCGTCAGACACTCAAAAGCAAAAATTCTGATGCATCAGACGGGCCCGAAGGGCCCGTCTGATGCATCAGGGGGGTTCAAAACCTAGCGAGGACCCTGGCTGAGCCGACGCCCTTCGTTATGGCTGAACATATCGACATCGCAACGCTCACACATGACCGTTTGAACGAGCTGCTGAGACAACTCCACGAGATCTCTGAAGAAATCGCGGCACTGACGGCCGAACGCACGTCCCTGCAAAATGACGTCGCACGGGCACAACAAGCACAATCACAAGCACCTGGCACTCCGGGACAACCTGCACTACAGGCATCACAGCACGGAAGTGTGGGGCAACCCGCGAGCGCGGCCAGTGATGGCGTCGTCCGCCACGACGGAGATGACGACCACGGCACGACACACCCCGAAGCGACGAATGCGGCCAGGAGCCAGCCTCGTGTCACGATCTCGGCACCGACCAATGATTCGGCCTTGCCGTCACCGATGCCGCTGAAGCCGCAGTGTCCGCCATGCTTTGACCCGAGTCAACAGGGTGGTCCTACCGTTCATGCGTGGTTGTTCACGTTGAACATATTTTTTGACGCCAACTACGTCTCGGAGGATACGGCGAAGATTCGCTACGCCATGTCGCTGCTGCGAAGACCCGCCATGGACTGGTGGCACGTCATCGTCACGAAGCCGATTGACTACGCGACTCTACCGACACGGGAAGGACAAACCGGACCCTGGGCGCCGCTGTATTTCGTAGAGGTGCCCCAATATCGCACGTGGGACGCATGGTGCGCAGGTCTGCGCGCTCGATTTGAGCCAATTGCGGCTTCGATCGCGGCGCGTCAGAAGCTCCGCACTTGGCGCCAACTCGGTTCCGTCCAAGACTACACTAGCGGGTTCCTGGCGCTGTGTGAGCAAGTGGGATACATGCACGAAAGCGAGCGCATCGACCGCTACATCGGCGGCCTGAAGCATGATATCGCCCAAGAAATTCAGCTCCGCGGCGTCACCGATTTCCAGGAAATTCTCGCCATGGCGGAGAAGCTCGACTTCTTTCGCCGACCGAGGCCGGGGTCCTACGGAAGCAACAGCAACTGGGGACATCGATCTCGTGGGACGAACGAGGGCACCACGTGTGAGGAAATGAGGAATGAATTGACTAAGGGAAAGTTGGGTACAAAAGCAAACCCTAGAAAACTGTACCCCATATGTGCTACCCCACTATAGCCTACAGTAGCTATGTCATATAAATCGGACACACCCCCATAGGCAAAGTGGGGGAGAACAAGGGGTCACAAGACCAGTCAAGCAAAGCAAAGCAAGCTCAGGGTGGATCACAAAGTCACCACACATTCCGAGCACAAGTTCAAGGCCACAAGGCCAGTTCACATGCAGGATTACATATATATATAAGGCTAGACAAGCAAGAGCAGGTGTATATATATATGCAACAGTACAAACAAGGTCAAGGGGTGAGCAAGTGAGGCAAGGTAGGCACAAGACCCAGCTGAGTACAGAAGCGCTGATGATCACAAGACGCAAGTGCCTTGGTGAAGATATCAGCAGTGTTGGCCTCAGAGGCCACGTACGCAAGCCGTAGCTGACCACGCTGCTGTAGCTCACGAGCAAGGAAGTAGCGGAGAGCAATGTGCTTCGTTCTGTGCTCCAGTCTCTGCTCTCGACACAAGGCCAGCATGGCCTTGTTGTCTACGTAGAGCACTGGAGGAGAACGAGGCGGCTCTCCGAGGTCAGTCAGCAGGTAGGTGAGCCAGCGAAGCTCCTGTGCAGCCATGGCCCCGGCGTAGATCTCAGCCTCACAACTGGAGCCGAGAACAGAAGACGAGCGGGTAGCCCGCCACGAAACAGAGCCGGAACCAAGACTGAAGGTGTAACCCTGTGACGACCGCTGCGTAGCCTGGTCGTCAGCCCAAGAAGCGTCTGCGTGCCCAGTGAGGACCACTGGACTCTGCCCTCCAAGCACAAGCCCCATGCCCGACGTACTGCACAAGTAGCGCAACACCCTCTTCGCTGCAGCCATGTGCTCCGGTCTGTGTCTCCCAGGAGCAACATAGCGTGCAAGAATGCTAAGAGGGTATGCAAGGTCAGGTCGTGTGCAGGTCATCAGGTACATGAGGCAGCCAACAAGCTCTGGGTACGGGCCATTCGACTCTACGGACTCATCCGAAGGCAGAGCTGAGAGCGAGTGGCGAGTAGGCAGAGGAGTGGCCTGAGGCGAGGAGTACGTGAAGCCGAAGCGCTGAAGGACCTGCTGCACCATGTGTGACTGAGTCAGGGTAATGGTGCGGCGTGCTCTGTCCCGGGTGATCTGCAAGCCAAGGTAGCTGCGCAGTTCACCCAGGTCTGTGCACGTGTGTCTCTTCTGCAACTCGGACTTCACGTGGGCGAGTCCAGCAGTGTCAGCTGTGGCGAAGACCAAGTCGTCGACGTACACGAGGATGTAGAACGGCGGCAAAGAAGTGTCGGTGCGCAGAAACAGCGACGGGTCGGCAGTAGAGGGAGCAAACCCAAGAGCCGCAAGTGTAGTCCTCAATGTGTCGTGCTACTCACGCGGTGCCTGGCGGAGACCGTAGACTGGCCGCCGGAGGCTCCACTGGGTGCCAGGAGGAAAAGACCCAGTGAATCCAGGTGGGCGACGCAGCCAGATCTCCTCGTGCAGGCTGCCCTGCAAGAAAGCAGTGCTGAAGTCAAGAGAGTGCAGCTCGTAGTCGCGGTGAGCAGCTATGTGCAGCAGTACCCGAAGAGTGGTCATCTTCGGGGTGGGAGAGAAGGTCTGAAAGTAGTCAACTCCCTGCCGCTGACTGAAGCCACGAGCCACGTAACGCGCCTTGAAGACAGGCGGAGAACCCGGCGGCCGCTTCACCCTGAAAATCCACATGCCACTGACGATGTTCGCCCCAGGCGGGGGAACCTCGTCAACGTAGGTGCCTGTGGACTTCCAGGAAGCCATCTCTGCGTCCATAGCTGCCTGCCACTGAGAGGAGTAGGGACCCTCTATCGCCTCCGCGTAAGAGCGCGGAGTCGGGATGTCAAGTGCATCCGGGTCTCCCTCAGGGGTAAGCAGTACGGACACGAGATGAGGTGAAGCAGCAGCCAAACACTGGAACTCCTCCTGCCTGTCCTCAAGGACGTCCGTGCCAAGGGCACACTCACCCCCGACGGACGGAGGACAGACAGACTCAGACTCAGCAACAAGACTAGCAGCGTAGTCTAGACGACAGCGAGCAGCAAAGTCGACGAGCTCAGTAACTAGGGCAGACGCAGCAGTGGACTCAAAGGAAGGGTCAGTGACAACAGTAGCAAGGAGACGCGTGACAGTAGGACTGGCAGCACGAAGAGAGTCCGACTCCGGGTCAGGAAGAGCAGGAAGAGAGGACTCAGGAGGAGAAGGCAAAGGGGCACGCAGAGGAGCAGAGGACGGACGGGGCCGCGTAGGGGCGGCGACGGGGCCGCGTAGGGGCGGCGACGGGGCCGCGTAGGGGCGGCGACGGGGCCGCGTAGGGAGGGGAGCGGCGACGGGGCCGCTAGGGGCGGCGACGGGGCCGCGTAAGGGCGGCGACGGGGCCGCGTAGGGGTGGCTACGGGCCGCGTAGGGAGGGGAGCGGCGACGGGGCCGCTAGGGGCGGCGACGGGGCCGCTAGGGGCGGCAACGGGGCCGCGTAGGGGCGGCGACGGGGCCGCGTAGGGGCGGCGACGGGGCCGCGTAGGGAGGGGAGCGGCTACGGGGCCACTAGGGGCGGCGACGGGGCCGCGTAGGGGCGGCGACGGGGCCGCTAGGGGCAGCGACGGGGCCGCGTAGGGGCGGCAACGGGGCCGCGTAGGGAGGGAGGCGGCAACGGGGCCGCTAAGGGCGGCGACAGGGCCGCTAGGGGCGGCTACGGGGCCGCGTAGGGGCGGCAATGGGGCCGCTAGGGGCCGCAAGGGGCCTGGAAGGGCGGCAACGGGGCCGCTAGGGGCGGCGACGGGGCCGCTAAGGGTGGCGCGAGGGGCCGTGAGAGGGGCCTCTAAGAGAGCTCGACAGAAGGGGGGCCCACAAGGCGCGCCTCGGGCAGGAGCGACTGTCGCTCCGGTCAGAAAAAAAAGGTTT